CAACCCTAACTATTCTATGGTTCTATGATAAATTTGTTAATGTCAGTTTTTAAAACTGTTATTTGCAGGTGCCATGACTGTGGGGCTATTCTTGAAGAATATGATGAAGAAACACTAGGGCTGGCCATAGTTGTGCTCTCAACCTTCATTCACCTTAGTCCAGATATGGCTGCTCCTCTGCTGTTGGACATCATGCAGTCTGTAGGAAGGTAAATTCAGACTTTCTTCTCTCCCATATGATTGAAAGAATTTTGTGCCTTGAATTGGGTTTGCATACCTGTATGAAGTTATATATTTTAGAACCATTAAGTGAATAGCATATGGTTTTGTCTGTTGCTTTGTTACTCATCATTTTAATTTCTTACGTAACTTATTCCACTGTCACTTCAATTTTGGCCAGCTCCTTTGATGTTCTCCTTTTTTACCCTCCAAAGGGAGGTTCCATCTTGGGATTCTCCCCAGTTTGTCCAACTGTAAGCAGTGACGTAAAGAATTAATTCAGTTTTCTGCAATACCCTTATATTACTTGAGTGACCTGTGTATTACCTGAACAGCAACTGATGCAACAACTGGTGTGCTTTCTGATCATGTTTTATTTGAAGAAAAATTTATGGTTAGTTTTAATTCCTTCTTCTATTTGCTCCTTGAACCATTTTTTGACTTGCCGCCTTATGGGTTTTATGTTGGATCTCTCAGAATTTATGTTCTTTTCTGCTTTCATTTGAGACATGACATAAGCTTTTTGAAAGAAGCCTTCCTTTTTTCTAATAACCTCTCTCACCTTACCTTTCTTCTGCTCTGTTGAAGTCTTTCCTTACAAGTGGGGTACCTTGGCCCTGTGCTTCCAATGTAATGTTCTTAAACAGCCTCTGAGCTTCTTGTAGAGACTGAATTCTCACGGCTACCCTTTTTTGCTGCTTTGACAGAATTTTTCACTTTTATGTAGTTCCTGTTTAGAAGTTATGCGCAAATGTGGCCAGCTTTTCTGAGTTTTGTTGCTCCTGGAGGACTGTTGACTCCAGGGTATGATCATTCATTAGCATACTCAAAGCTCTTCAGGATTTTCAACCGTATTTCATATGCTAATTAAGACTAAGTAAAGAGTTGCATCTCCTTATGAGGGCTTCCTAACCAACTGCTGCACAAGATTGTCCCCGATAAGGGCTTAAACATTTGGTGTGTATTATTTTTCTCTTGCGATCTTTACTCAGTGTGCATGGGATAATAGAAGTGCACCATTGCTACTGTATTAACTTTTCACTGCGGCCTTGGCCACTTCCACAACTTCCTGCCTAAGAGGTAGATGATCTCCAGAAGTTCCTTCCAACCCTAATGATAGTGTGTGATTCTATGTGTGTGAGGTGAGATGGATGCTATGGGTATTTCAGAATAAACTTGTGAACAGCACTAGTAGTGCAGAAACGACACACTGCTCTCCTTTCCCATGTTCTTTTCAATGACTGAAGTTAAAACTGCTTGACTGTGCCTTTTTCAGGGGCGCAGCTCTTCGCAGCTCTGCCTCTTCACTACCTCCCACTTCCATTTAAACACAGCAGGTATCCAGGTCCTCCATTTCCATTAATTGCAAGGCTGCAGTTCCCTGCTGTCATTGCTAATGAACTCTGATGGAGGCAAACTTTCTAATCTAGACGGATGCTGTACATTCACACAGATTCTTTTGAGGACAACAGTACTACAGCCACAGAGAGGAAATAATTTGGAAGATAAATTATGAAGGGATGAGGGCCAAGTGGGTTACCTTTTTCTGTGCTTTGAGGAAGAAATGCTGCATCTTTGGAGTGAGACAACTGATTGTTTTGGAGAAGCAGATCACATGCAACATGGGGTATTCCTGATAAATGTCCTGTGTTTTTCCTAAGCCCAATAAGAAGCTCCTCACAAAGGAATTATTTTGAATATATGCAAAATAAGTACCATATGCAGAGAGTCATTCAGGAACTTCACGTGTGTAGCCTAAGTTGCTGTCTTTCATTCTTGCTGCTTTGATGCTTAGAAAAGGAAAGAAGGAGTTAGGAAATTGAGGGTCTTTCAGAATACCTAAACAAGACATAGAAAGATTTTTAAAAGTTATTTGGGTACTCACAAGTGCAGATAGGCATCTCTTTTCAGAACAGAAAAAGTTTTTGGTTCAAGTTACTGACAACTTGACATGTTTGTAAGACTCTGGCATGCACTTAACTTTATGTTCTAGTTCCTCAATAAAACTTTTCGACTCGTTTGTTCTTGTTTCATTGATTTACAATGAGATTTAGCTTTCAGAGCTTCAAAGCCATTTAGGCATTTAGGTTTCTGGGTTAGTAAGGAGCTTTGAAAAGCTTAACTTCTGCTCTTAACATGTACACATTTGAACACATCCTTTTACTGTCTACTGTCCATTTGCTGTTCTGCTTTGTGGTCTGCAAGGTGGAGGTACTGATGGGGGTTCATGGCCTTTGTGCAACAAAATATTTAGAATAGTAATGATATACAAGCTATACATTCCAGAAAGTTTCAGATGTTTCCAAGTGTTTAATGTAGTTCATGTCTCATGAAGTTTTTTCGAAGTTAGAAATCAAATGTCTTGTTTATCATAAAACCCCCACCTTGCATTATTACATTCACAAGAACGAACAACTTTGTGTAGGACTTCGATTTCTTTTAGAAGAAGTATTTTATGCTGTGCTATTTGTATACTTCAGTAGGTTTTTTGAAAATAAGTGATTAGTCTCATTGCATTCTGCAGAAATCCTCATGTGCTTTAATGTAGCAGATGCTGCAGTTATTCCAGAATCAAGGTCTGTATTCTTTGAAGGCAGCTTCAGACCCATTTTCACCCAGAACTAGCTTTGCAGACCAGAATGAATATGTTGTATTTTAGGGTGGACTTCTCTTAAAAACAGTGGAGTCAGGGACTCTAATGGGTTTTTCTGATTTTTGCTGCGACAGCTGAGGATAATGTAATTTTCAACCCACTGCACAATCCAGCCTGAGATTATTGCACTGTTGAAAGTATGCTGTGTCCCCAGCTTGTTAAGCATCATCATAAAAATTGCCATGCATTTTGGTTTACGCTGATGCATTTGGCTGAGCTGCCTTAGGGCCCTTATTGGATTTTGCAGTGGTGACTAGAGAGAAAACTGTCTCCAGAACAGAGGCTGACAGAGGATTGAGCAACAGCTAAATACAGCCTAAAAGGATTATGAATCAAAGATAAACATTGAAAGCAGATCATCAGCAGATGTAAATTAGCGTAGCTGTATGAACTTTTCATTTAGACGTATCAACTGATACCAGCTGAAATATAGATGTGCAGCAGATGAAAGTAAAAATTGCATGGTCTTTTGTATGTAACAGATGCTTCCAATGTATGTCTTTATAATTGCTTTTAATGGCTTTTAGTATTAAAGGTGTGTTGCTTTGATATAAGCCCTGTTTCTATTCATTTACATGTCCTGGATATTGAAATGCATGGTTTTTCTTTACGATTGTGTTCAGTACCTTCATCACTGAATGCCCATATTTGGCTTTAAAGTCTATATTTAGGTACTAAAATAAATGACCTGATTTATGAGAAACCAGTATTTTTCATCTGATTTTGTAAGAGCTCATAGGTACTTAGTGTTTCTGAAATTAGGCCAGTTATTTAGATGCCAATATCTGGAACTAGAAGCCTTCCTTCAGACTGCCAAGTAGAGAATTTTGGCTTAGTCTATGTTGCTGTGTTAATCAGAAACAATTCAGTCAGTAGGCAGCTTCTGGCAAACTTTTTTTTCTCCGAATCCCTCCAGGTTAGTCATTATCCATGATGTGCATGTAAGGCAATAGCTTTACTTCATTGTCTTCATGCTAGTTAGGCAAGTAGATTTGTTTCTAAAGCTGTTAAATATTTGTGAGACTGCAAGACTGAACAGAGTTTATGTTGTGCAAACACAATCTGACTGAATTTAGAAGACTTCTTCAGAAGACCTTTCAAATGACATTTTAAATGTTCTCTCAAATTCTTATTATTTAAATTAAAAAAAAAGTTACTTTATTGGCTTACTTAAAAATTAAATAATAATAAAAAAGCATATGAGCTTCACATTTTTGATTGTTTGTTTTTATTCCAGGTTGGCATCGAGTACCAGTTTTTCTAATCAAGCAGAAAGGTATGGTAGCAAAGGATAACTTGGCCAAAATGAAACAATTAATATAAAGTATCCTCCCCGGCACTGAAATCACCTAAATTTAACTTCTTAAAACTTTATAAAGGTTTGCGAGTAAGAGGAAAAACCTGTCTTTTCCCACTTGTTTCAAGTATCTTGTGTGTTCTGATTATGAAAAGGAACTCATATTCATATGTATTGAACTTGAAAAAACTCAGATTCAGACAAAATTTAAAGATGCCTTCTGGGTTCCACAATTTCAGTGCAGGTTTTTCTAGCTTGTTCTTTGTTCAGTATTTGTCTTGATAAATTATCTCCATACATTCAATCAAGTGACTCATACTTGGCCATGGAGAACTTCTGGTAGTGATGTCTCATCATGTAAATCAGATGCTGAATAAGACAAATTCATTTTGAGAAGCTGTAAAACGTATTAAGATGTGCAGTTTATGAGTAAATAGATAATACTTTAGCTTTTTTAATGAAACCATTTTATAAGTGATTAGGAAGTACATCATGTCTTGAAGGAAACTGCAAGAGGCAAAATATATAATGCGTGTGTTTACCTGTTGTTCATATGTTTCATGGTAAAGCCAAGAACGTCATCCTACATTACTGAAATACACAAGATGAGAGCAGGTTTATATTTCAAACTCAGATAAATATTTCAAACACGATTCAAACTCATATTTATATTTCAAACTCAGATATATTTCAAACACAAATAAAAATGTCTGGAGGATCAGGGAAAATGCAACTTTTTTTTGAGACGTAAATACTTTAGGCATGTGTACATAGCTTTTGCAGCTTTACATGATTGAGCTGAAGTCATAAAATCAACATTCTGAACTGTGTTTTGGGATCAGGACAGTTCTGCTTTCAACTCATAGCTGAACACTTCTATAATTGAATAGGATCATCTTTGTTTTCTCCTGACAAACATGCCAGGTTTGAGAAGTGTTTCATCTGCAATCAATTTCTTCCCTCTTCCATTTCCTTCCCTTCATTTCAGTATGATGATCCCTGGAAATGCTGCAGGTGTGGCCAAGCAGTTCCTCCGTTGTGTGTTCCATCAGCTGGCTCCCAATGGTATCTTCCCCCAGCTCTTCCAGAGCAATATTAAAGGTAATGTGCAGTACCCGAGTGCACTTCTGATGGTTTCAGTTACATCTGTATGGACAGCCAGTGCAAAAATGTCATTTGAATTTCAGATGGAAGTTTTTTGCGGACCTTAGCCACGTCTCTTATGGACTTCAGTGAGCTGAGTTCCATTGCTGCTCTGAGCCAGCTGTTAGAGGTATGTTGGCAATTGGCTCTGTTAATGGTGATAGTTTTCTTAGCATTATCAGGTATATTGAATCACTTATCCTCATTCATTAAGAGTTCAAACTTGCATCACCAAAAGCAATGTGAATTTTTCTCCCTGGAAGCAGGATTAGGCTGTCCTTAACATTTTCCTTCTGGATTTTGTTCTCACTGATGTTGGTTTTTTTTGGTTGGTTGGTTGGTTTGGTTTTGTTTGTTTGTTGTGGGGTTTTTTTTTATTTTTTTATTTTTTTTTTTTTATTTCTTTGATTTAGTTTTTTTGTTCTGTTTTCATTTTCTCAGGCCAGCTTCTGGAGCTGTCCTACACACTGGTAGTGTGGGCCATCCCTTCCCCAGCAGTTTGTGTTTTTCAGGAACATGTCTGCTCATACATCTCAGTTCTCCCTCTCCCCTGTATCTGGTGGCAGTTTCTCCAAGTAATCCAAACATTTATTTACCGCCTTTCACTGATTACCTTCTGTGCACTCAGCTAGTTTCTACTTTAACTTTTATCCTCCCACTAGCACTAGTCACTTGCATGTATCCTGCTCTTCCAAAAACATGGCAGTCGCTTTATACAGAGATTTTGACATCACTTTAAAACTGCTTATGTCTTTCCAGGCCTGACCTTAGTATGTAAGCCAAAAAAGCATAGATGGTATACTGAACATTAATGGACATATCTCTTTTAAAACTGTCCAAAGGAAAATGTATGATCAGCTGGTGAATACTTCAGGAGTTCTGCTCTTTTTTCTTACTGCCATGTCAGTCTAAGCAGGTTATGAGTAAGAACCCCGCTTACAATATTTTGGCTCAAAATTGCTTGGTCAATACGTTAGAAACTGAACTAGACTTAACTGTGACGTACACATTTCAAAATCCCCGCATAACATTTTATCATTAGCATTATAGAAGAGGTAAGGTCTGAACAAATTACCTTGGCATTTCCAAATACTGTTTAAGGGACCATTCCTACATATGTACACTTGCTTAAAGTTTCTGTTGTTTCCCAGGGTTTAAACAACAAAAAGAATTTACCAGCAGGGGGTGCAATGCTACGCTGTTTGGAAAATATTGCTACCTTCATGGAAGCCTTGCCGATGGATTCACCCAGCAACCTCTGGACCACAATTAGTAATCAGTTTCAGACGTTCCTTACTAAACTTCCCAGTGTTTTGCCACTTAAGGTATGATGTATGGACATCTGAAACGAGCTATTCTGCCATTGGTCAGGATGTACCAAAACAGTGGGAAAGCTGTGGGTGAGAAATCAGAGTAGAATGTTGTGAATATTTTCTAATGATTCGACTAATGTCTCCAGAGAACTGGATTTATTGTATATCTGATCTATGACTTTAATTATATTTTCTGGTGGGTAACAATAACAACTCTGACAAGAGTACTTTCCACCTCTTAGTTGGCTTTTTTCTCTACAATTTCCACATCCTGTCCTTGTCAGATTATATTACTGCATTTGAGAGAATTGCCATTTTGGCAATAAAAATCCATCTGGTTTTAACCATTAAACCAAAATTCTCAAGTAGACTGGCACCACCTAATTAAGTTGCTAAAAGTACATGATAGTCAAGAGAGGCAGAGAGAACTGAGACTACTGGGAACTGAGCCTATTCTGTTTGGCTGAGTGGGCTGTAGTTCTGTCTATAATTAGAATGTAGTTGCAGAGACTGAATCTAGAACCTTTCTGCTCTGATTTCTGAGTAGTCAGAGGACAAACAGAGAGATCTTATCCCCTAGTGTGTATATTTCCAGATGCATTTTCAATAAACACAGTAAAGAATTTTCTGAGTCTTTCCAGTAGACATAGGATTCTGATGCCCTTATTCTGACTAGTCTGTGGCATGAATGAACTGAGGGGTAATTTCTTCTGTGCAAAGCAGTGTTGCTCAGTATGAGCTGAGAGATCCAAAATCTGTCTCTTTTTGCAAATCCGTTTTTATTACAGTGAAAATAGATTTCTTGGAAGTTTTTGTCATAAAAGGGGTGAAGTTAACTCTTCTAAAGTAGCCCCTTAGTGCAATTTTCTCACCTCAAGGCCCATTCCATGGTACTTTACCAGTGAAGGAGTATGACTGTGTGTTCCAGAATAGACCAGTTTAGGCAAAGTAAGAACGATAAATCATCAGGGATCATTTTTTCAGACTTCATTGGTAACTTATTTATAATTGCTACCACTAAAAGTGAGATGTACTGAAAAATGTACTAACTTTTTTCTTTTTTTTTTTTTTTTCTTTTGGTTTTTGGTTTCTTTTTTTTCTTCCCTGACTTTAAATATGTTTACAGTGTTCTTTAGATTCTAGTTTAAGAATCATGATTTGCTTGTTGAAGATACCTACCACTAGTGCCACCAGGGTAAGTTCTAAGAAGACAAAACTCTGTTGCCTTAGATTTGGGCAGCTTGTGCTATTCTATGGATGTGTTCTTACCCCCTAACTAGGAGAATATTGTATATAAGCATAAAATTGTGCAGTCTGATACTCTTTGGAGAGCAATTAGAGCTTTAGAATCTAGGTTACAGTAAAGTGCGGGTAGCATAACATTCCTGTGGGTGTGAATGTGTATCTTCTTAAAGATTTGATGTTCTTTAGAAGTTCTGCAGTACAATTCCACTGAGGTCAGTGAGGCTTTCCTGAATAAACACTCCAGAATGTCTTGTATCTTGTAAGATACAAGACTCTGTCAGAGGTGAAACTATTTTCTAATTTTTTACTTCTAATTTCTCACACAAGCATGAAGGCAAGTGCTAGATAGAACAGGCATTTGACCAAAACCCTGTAAATTCCAGCAAGATAGCCTCTGAGCTAAAAATAATGCTGTTCCATTCAGGCGTTTCAGGGTTGGAACGCTTTTTCTTTGCTGAGTGACCAGTTATTGATTTTTCTAAATCATGTCATTGCAGAGTCTTCTGGAGCCTTTTTCAAAATTACTAAGCTTTGTAATTCAGAATGCTGTCTTCACTCTGGCCTACCTGGTGGAACTGTGTGGGTTGTGCTACCGGGCCTTCACTAAGGTAACAGTGACACTCTTATCTTCCTTTAGGGACAACTGAAAATAGGATAGACAAAGACCTGCTTCCCTCAAGTAGCATATTTGTAAGTGACTATTAAATCAGTATCAAGTTTCAGACATATCAACAGTTTTATTGTAGTTTGGCTAATCAAGTAGTGATCATGATTCAGTGCCATTTAACAATACTGAGTTTCACATTCACAGTATAGACACAGACAAAGGGAACCTGCTTAAAACATTGCTCAGGAAAGCATTTTGGTGTGATTTCATGACTTGGGATTTTTTTTTCTCTTATAGAGATGATAACTGATATTCATGCATGACTTAACATGTCTGTACAGTTATATCTTTCCTAGTCCACATTCCTTGTGCAATAAAACTTAAATATTCCTGGTAGTGCCGTTTGAGAGCACAGCTGTGAGGGGAGGCAAAACATAGCTAACTAAAATGGGAGACTCCAAGTTAGGAACTTCCCAGCTTAGATCCTATTACATTCTGTATTAGGTATCTTATTTGGCGTGCATGGCTGTAAGCTGTGTAGAAAATAGAACAGTATTTATGCACCTTTAAAAAAGTTTTTAGGATTCCTGGATGAAAGCTATGGTGTATGAATAATACTCAGTTGTTATTCAAGTTCAATTTTGTAAGAAGCTGAACAACAACAAAATCCACAAAAAACAATCAAACCTTTTACTAAGGCCCTACATGCTTCATTATGTAGATAGTTGAGGTACTAAGCAATAGTGTTGCTTTAGCTACTAATTGCACAGTTTTCCATCTTTGATATGTTTGTCAAAACAGCAATTATTCCCCAGGAAACGTTCTATCATAAATAGCTACAAGAATTTGTGTATTGATAATGTACAACTGGGACATGTGTTGCTTCAGTCTTAATAAGACTTAAAATATCACTGGAGAAACCATGAAGAAGAAATTATAAAAGCAAGTGACACTGTCACAAGAAAATAAAAACTTCTACTAGTTGTAATGGTTCGAAGCATTAAATAGAAACTAACAGTATGTTTAATTACAGTAAACAAACACTAGCTTTTTTGTCTGATTTGAAAGAGAAGAGTTTATGAAGGAAAAAAGTCGTGAATACAGAAGAGACTGTCTGGCTTTTGGAAGTAATTTGACTTAGATCTATGGTTATGGCTTTGGGCAAGGTAAACAGAGAAAAACATTAACTTGAAGTCCAACTGTGTTTGGTTTTTTTTGTTTTGGTTTTGGTTTTTTTTTGTTTTTGTTTTTTTCATTGAAACGAAAAAAGCCTCATTTAAAACTGAAGCAAAGAAAGTCTTCTTGCATTTGTGTTCTGATAAGACTGTTTCATGTATGCCTGCTAAAGCAAATTGTGAAATACAGGAAGTGTTTCACTCCCCTCATGCTCTGCATTTTTGATTAATTCATGAGAATTTTATTAAAATGATGGTATTAAAAACCCCTATGCATGCCTCCTGGTTTAATGTTCTATTAATATATTGAGTACTTAATTGTATGCAGGAAGCTTGGGTTATAGTGTATGGTAAAATTTCTTTGTTGATTTAGTTTAATGCAACCTGGTAACCCAGAAATGGAATCATTAGTGAACGGTCTCCTGCAATTTATAGCCACAAAATGCTTAATTTAGTGGAATTCCACACTATGTTATCTTATTTCTGAAAGCTTACCATGGTTTCACATTAAAAATATTAAATGAATGACTGGTGTTAGGAAAAAACCCAAACAAATCAGTTGTGATGTCTGTGTTTCTCTTCAGTGGAAATCACTGTAGCCAAGTAAGAGTGTTGTTTGTGATAGAGTACCACATAGAAGTGAATTCCAGAAGGAACATCATTTGTGAACATTGAAACTATTCAGATTTAATTATTTGTTTTGTAACTTTGAATGTGCTGGCTGGAACAAAACAGCAACTTTTAGCTAAGCTGTGGAGGTTTCTTTTCTTTTTGAAGAGCAAGCTACTCTGATACGTACTTTGTAGAGGTCAGTGCTGTACAGCCACTCCAAATCTTTTTTTCCTAATACCCTGTGGCAGAAATATCTCAGTTTGTCTTGTCTTGGAGCCTGAAGACTCAAGTCAATCTGATATTTCCTTGTCTGAGTTTCTGTTCCAGGTCAGCAATTTGATTTTGCAATGCCTTTGGAAGTTGAGGCATCTCTTCTGCGGATTGTAATCTTATCTTTAGTTTTCCTTTCAGGCATGTTAAGTTCCTAAATGGACAGTTTTTTGCTTTCTGATCTCTTGCAGCTGTATAAGCTAGAACATAAACTTAGCCTTTTCCTAGCATTCTGCTACCCTTATTAGGTAAATGCAGAAGGCCACTGAGTTGGACATGACATGATTTTGCTATTGTATTTTTTGAAATGGGCTATCTTCGGGATTTGTAATTACTGTAGTAGTAGAGATAAATAAAGAATTTCGCTTTATAATGGCTTACTTGGAGCATAGCATACCACTCCATTAAAGAACTAGATTTACTGTTCTTATTACTAAGTTTGGGCCCTGAGATACTGCTAGAAAAAAGCTTAAGTAGTTTCATGTTCTACACATAGTCCTCTGGCAAGTCACAGTTTGATGGTTGCAAGGCATTTTTTCTTAGGGATGCATAGACATTTGAGAGGATTAATTTGGCTGAAAAAGGGGTTGAATTCCTAACTCTTTGGTACCAGGTTTACACATGTGGCTCCCCTGGGTGTTATTCTTATGGACATCTCTGTGGCAGAGTATGAAGTTCTTAAAGTATGTTTACACATATTTGTGTTTAAGCTATGTTTATACATATTTATCTCCAGCAGAATGATAGGAATAAGCAGACTTCAGTAGGAAGGGTACTCTGGGCTATTGACTTCAGCATCATCACTCTTGGTTTACAGTGCAGGAAGCAAGAGTTCAGATGTCTAAAAAACATTTTGCTTGAATTTGCTTCATCTCTCTGCACTGCATGTGCTTAACAAACATTAAGGGTTTAGACTGTGAGACAGGAGACTTCTTTGAGAAAGAGTTAGCTCAGTGTCATGTTAGTCTTAGAGCCAGGGAAAGCTGGGATTCATGAAGACTATGCTTCCTTCCCAGTGTTCTTACAAAGCAATTTATTATGGCCCAATTATATACTGTGTAGAACAGGTGTTAATCTGTAAAATAGCTGCATGCTCTTGAAAGTATTCTACTTCTCTTCTTTTCCAGTATGTGCAGGCTACTGTACTGGGTTACTGATAGGAAATTCTGTGCACTGTTTTGGGGAATGTAATTGTCAAATGTTTGAGCATGGCACTGCATTATGGTCGTGTCTCAGGACTGTGAAGGAGTATGATGGTGGTAAGGGTCACTCTCACTTGTGAATTCTAGCAAGTAATCAGTTCTGTTTGCACCTTGAGTATTGTGCACCATTCTGGTTCCCCATTCCCAATCAGAATATAGTAGAATTGGAGAAAGTTCAGCTAACTGTAACAAGAGTGATCAAACAGTGGGATAAGTTCCATAGACAGAGCAACCAATTTAGGACTCTTCAATCTGAAAAAACCAAAAACTGATGGGAATGTGAGAGAAGTCTGTAAGGTTACAAGTGACTCAGGCAGGGATGGATAATTTCATACCTTTCCAGTACAAGAACAAGGATATATCAAGTTTATAGGAACCAGTGTCAAAACAAATGAAGGGAAGTGGTTCTTCAACAGCGTGTGACTCCTTGCAAAGTACTGTGGGTGCTCAAAGTTGACATGGGTCCAAAAGGTCAATGGACATGTAAGTGTCCATGTAAGTTCTAATCTCCCCTGGCTGATTTTCCCGTATGCTTTAAAATGTTTCTGTTGTAGCAGCTCTAGCCAAAAGGGATTTTTTATTTTTTTGTGTAAGTGGGAAAGTACTACTAGTCTAATATATGAAAATAGATGGCCAAGCTGCCTTAGTGCAGGTATGCTTATTTCAAGGGGAATGACAACAGAAAAAGGTATGGTAAAAGGTAAACCATTTCTGGCAGGTTTAATGAAAGAGTGATGCTAAATACTATCGCCAGTTTTGTTCTCCTGTGTCAGTCCTTACTGCTTTCCTCTTTTCCTTTTATATGGAGCTACTTATTGAAATCTATGCTGCATGCCTGGGCTTTATAACTATTTTATAAAAATCTATTATATTTCACATGTGACATATTAAAATCTTGGATATAGTGCCTGATACATCAAAGAAGAATCACCCTGATTGATGTCTGTTCAGTCAAGTCTGGAAAATTACATAAATGATGAATGATGTGTGCTTTTTTTTAAGGCAGGAGAAACCAGTACACTTTTGTAACTTTTTTGTTCTCCAACTTAGATCAAAACTATCTTTATGGCTTACTAGTGGGTGTCAGTGACTTTCAGAACATTCATAATTCTATGTTTTTCTCTTGTAGGAAAGGGACAAATTCTACTTGACACGCAGTGTCATATTGGAGTTACTGCAGGCACTCAAGTTAAAGTCACCATTACCAGATATGAATTTGCTGCTGTTGGTGCAGGTACAGAAGATTCACATATAATTCTTATACTAATCCTGTCTCGGCCCAAATTCGGGGCGGGGGGTGGTGAGGTGGGTGTTGAGGAGCAAGTCCAACGTGATTGCAGAAAGTACTGGCAATGTCAGGGAAGCAAGGATGTTTTGAATCAAAATCCAGTTACATTTTTAACCATAGGTGCATACATTTAGATGTGGGAACACTAGAATTTAAGACATTGTCATGGTTTAAGCCCAGCAAGCACCTTAGTACCACACAGTTGCTCGCTTGCTTCCCTCCAGTCCCCAGTGGAATGGGGAGGAAAATTGGGAAAAAATGTAAAAACCCGTGGGTTGAGGTAAGAAAAATTTAATAATTGAAATAAAAGTAAAATGTAAGAACACAGCAACAATAACAACAACAATAATAAGAGGAAATAGAAAGAGAAGAAATAAACTCTGCCCCCATCCCCCCACTCTTTCTAGCTAACTCCCCCCGGTTTATGTACCAAGCATGATATTCTATGATACGAAACATGCCTTTGGCTAGTCCAGTCAGCTATCCTGGCTGTGCTCCCTCTTGGTTCCCTGTGCCCCTCCTCACTGCAGACCATGAGACTGAAGTCCTTGATCAGGGTAAGTGCTACTTGGCAACAACTAAAACATCAGTGTGTTATCAACATTATTCTCAGACTAATTCTCAGACTAAAGCCAAAACACAGCTCTGTACCAGGTACTGGGAAGAAAATTAACTCTATCCTAGCTGAAACCAGGACAGAAACTAAATTTGGAATCTGCATTTCCCAGGGTGATAATGACCTGTGCATCACTGCTGTTGTTTTGAGGATCACAGAATGTATCTTGAGTTGGAAGGCACCCCTTAAGATTAAGTCAATTGAGCTTCACACAATGCAGCAGCTATCCCAGTGGGGCAGCTGCTGCGTTGTCTTCATATCATTACCCCAAAACTAGTGAGCAGTCTGTGTAGGAAGGGGTTCTTGTTGTTCAAGGGCCAAAACTCAATTTCTGTCTGTTCAGGCAGGCAGTAAGCTGCCTCCAGACCCTGAAGGCCATTCTCTTATAACATGGAGTTTTCCAGCAAAGAATACATAGACAATATTTCTATTCCTTTCGTTCTGTGGAATGAAGGAAGGAGTTAGGCTAGCTTTTTCGCAGGAAAATCTGAGGAAGTAAGATACAAACCTGTGAAAAATCTTTCTGCCTCCAAAATGCCAAGTGTGGCACTGTTTAGCACTGTAAGCCTGTTCCACAAAAACGATTTACTGAAGCCCATCAATTTTGATCACAGGTAGTCTGCTCTTGTTGTTTACAATGAGCTAACCATTATAGGTGTTTAGTAACTTTAAATTACAGGGGATCAGCATAACAGCACTCCATAAGGTTCAAGGAATATGTTAGTTATGTAGAACATTCATAATGCTCCCAGCACTACAGTTTCATTTACTCTTTTCCCTCCCATTATGGGGTCAAAGCTTCATATAGCTTACTGTGGGCTCATTTTCTTTTGAATACTCATGCATTACTCATAGTAAGTGAGTGGTTGCCTGTTGGCAGAGAAATAATACTGACAAGTGAAATTATATAGCAGTTAGGATAACTCTGAAAACAATTATTATGTCATCAATGATAGAGGAAGAAGTTGGGACAGGGAAGAATAACAACTTGGGTTATTTTCTTCTGATGGCAAATTGTTATTTTGTTAAATCCATTTTAACCTAAAAAGCAGAAATTTGCCTGTTTTTTTTTTTTTCTTTTTAAAGCCCAGACTTCTTTTTTCAGTCCCAGCCAAGAGTGTCAAATAACAACCACCAACCTCCAACCTCTTTCTATCTCATGGGTGCAGTGATGCAGCTTGATACTATGTGCATCAGTGTTAACTGATTTGAACTGACTTCACCTGTATTACAGAATAAAGCAATATTTCTGCATTGCTCCTCTGTATTGCTCAGTCCTATGGCTACTGTAAAGGGTGACAATCCCACAGTCTACTCAATTCTGAATTCCTCATTTGAGAGTACAAACACACTGCATCAGTTTTGGCAGTGGGATTTAACTGGTAAACACTTGTCCTTCACATTGAGTCAATTGCCTGATAGACACAATAAGCAAAATTCTCTCCTACATTATCTTTATGGGATAAAGATGAAATGATAATTGCCTGGGTTTTCCTCCTAGCACTGTTGCCATATAATGCATTCGCTTTGGGATATATCTGTACCTTACACAACAGCACCTAATGTGGATTGAATGCCTTTTATGATGTCTCTCTTTCAGAGACTGATTCATATTTTCTGCTATCCAAGCAGCCAGCTTCTGATTTTATGTAGTCAGTGGTAAAGAATAGGGGTTGTATTCAGACCATCTGCCATCGATGCCTACTGGCGGCATGATGAGTACGTCTCCCATTGACGGTGCAAATTGACAGCCCTCAGTACTATGTGGTCTGAATCATTCAACAGCCTCTTGAATTTAAATACCATAGTAACCACTAAGCCCATCTTAAGCACTGTTGTAATTTAAGAAACCTACTAGTAAAAAACACATATGTATCTGATTATTTTAACTTTTCTGGTATCATGAATAGAATGAAGGGGATGGTTCACCTCTTTACCACACGAAGCTTCTATAATGTTAATTCAAATTGTATGGGTTTGAATCACAGAATCACAGAATGGTTTGCGTTGGAAGGGACCTTAAAGATCATCTAGTTCCAACCCCCTGCCATGGGCAGGAACACCTTCCATTAGACCAGGTTGCTTAAAGCTCTGCCCAACCTGGACTTGTTTTGTCTCTCGCTTTCAGCCAACAGTTTGTCAGCATCATTTTGTGTTTGAAAAATAGCCCCCAAGTTCTTTCTTATTCATTTTCCTCCTTAAGAAAAGAGAATTAAGCTATTACTTCTTGTGCACATAGCTGCCTTATTGCATTTTACACACCTCATCAATACAGAGCAACAGGATGTCAGGGGACACAAGTGATGGGGCAAGCAGAGGAAGACTGGGAAGTTAAAGGTGGTTCCTGTCCTTCCATCAAACCTGTCTTCTGTACAAAGAAAGCCTTCATCCTGTTCACCCCACTGTGTTCTGCCTCTGCACCCACAGTGAACCATTTCAGAAGCAAGTCTTCACTTTTCAGATTGCCTTGAAGTTTGATAGTGACAGTTCCTCTTACAGGTCTGCAAACCAACTCTGTCTTAGTGGTGTGCATCAAAGACTGTGTGTGCACTGGCTGTTAGTTTAACAGGTATCCATAAAGCTATAGTGGAGTTAACATAGCACCAAACAAAAGCAGTTTTAACTTGCAAGACAGTCGTGTCCTCCTGGACATGTTAGCCTGTATCCAGGATTCTATATAGACAGTGCACAGAGAACAGAGATTCAGTCCAAATGTTCCAGATAACAAAGGAGGTAGGAGCACTTCAGTGATAGATTAGTCGTGGGCTGATTAACAAAGGAATTCCTAGGAATGTACATTTGACACCCACATCCATCCAGGTTACATGGTGCTATCAGTGTCACTGTTGACATCAATGCTAAGACGAGAGCTAATTTTAACCACTTTACGAAGAATGAGAATTTTAACTAGATCACCCCAATCATTGCATAGGTGTCTTGGATGATAAAGGGCACGGAAAGTCTGTCTCCTTGATTTGTCCTGGCAAATGAAAGTCATGATATACATGCTGCTGTTCCATGGGTTTCCATAGGAACTGCTTCTTCACCCAGCATTTTGTTTCCCAGTGCTTTTCTCCCACTCACATTTCACCAGCACATATCTTCAGGATTTCCACTGACTTCAGATTATATTAGTGTCTCATTAGGATTTACTTGTTCAGTCAAACTCTAAGGTTCAGTGTATCTCATCTGTTTTGTTTAGGTGACTCCTACTGTGGGCCAGACCTTCAGCCAATGTAAAGCAGTGTATATCTAATGGTTCTGCTTTATGTTTCTGTGGCGATCTGATTCATTAATTACTGAATAGAAGGATTTAAAGATTATAAGATTATGTTTTAAAAACTTTATGAATGGAAGTATGATTATAGATTATGGTATCTAGATAATTCACTACAGTTAGCAGACATTCCCATTTAGACATTATTTTGCAGCTGTATCTCAGCTGACAATGTTAGTAAGAGGCATAGCAATTATTTGCCCATTTCTCATCTTTTTGCAGTGTGGGGGTGTTTTCCTTTTTTCTTTACATATGGCTAGCATTAACTCTCTTGCCAGTGACGTCTTAATGTATTGCAGTATTTGCAGAGGGAGACAACGTGAGTGACAGTGAATTGGACTGGAAATGTAGGATATTTTTCTTTTTGATTTCCCCATTCTCTTTTGACTGCATTGCAACTTTAGGAAGGATACTTGGAACTGGCAGTTTGATGATGGGAAAGATAAGTTAAACAAGGCCTAACTGTTCATTAGAAACAGAATAGGGTTTGCCAACTGTTTTTCACATATAAATTAATATCTCTTGTTTAAGCCGAACTCCTCTGTGCAAAAGATGTAGAAAGCTTACAGGAGGCCAGTAAAGGCTGCTGCTTCTTATTATTGCATTTAAAGAAAGTGTTGTCTGAAATAAATGACACTTGTCTTTGGCAAGGGTTTTTTGTTGACTTATATGGTGAGTGCTGTACAGTGTCTGTAGCAGTGCACTGAACTCACTGTTGAATGCTAAATATATTCAGCTAGATTCTTCAGGGAATTATGGTCCTTTTTTGCAGCTGATGTAGTACAAGAGGACTGTAATTGACACAAAAATAGTTGACTGAGAAATCCTTCACACAGGAAAACAACATCTATTGTCCAGTGGACCCAGTATCACGCGTGTTCTTTGTGAGACAGGGTGCATTAGGAGAAAATCCATCATCTATTTGCCTCGGTCCATTAATGGTCCTTCTTTTTAAAGAGAGGTAGAGAGTCATGGTTGCTTTTTGAATTAAGACTCAACTGTCCACTGGATTGATAGAGCCCATAACTATAAGGCTTTCTTTTGCTTCCCATGTAATTAGAGCTGCAGTACAAAAGAGGACCAGGCCATCTCTCAACTGAAATATGAGTTAGATTCCTGTTTTGTTTCCATTTGGCTTATTTTGGTGTAAAATAAATTCTAACCAGAAGAAGAGTCAGTTGGAGTGAGGCCTATATTTGAGGATACCTCATTAGATTATTAACCCAAACTCATGTATGTCTTTCTGATATTTATCTCAAAGAACAGACACTTCGTCAAGGTATAAGTTGAGTAGTTGTCAAGTCTTGGTAGGCAGTCTGAGTTGAGATGAAATCTGTCATTGAGCAGTAAAGCTCATGGAAGTTTGAAAGTAAATTCTAGATCTCTAAAGGATATTTGGAAATATTTTCAAGAAGAGTGGTCAGTCATTGAGAGTACTGCTAACACACATACATTACACAACTGTAAAACAAACTGTGTAGTCAATATCTGTCTCAGTTAGTGAAGGTACTATGGCATTAATTTTCAAGGAAGAAAGTTAAGACTTAGACCTTAGTTTTACAGTTCTTTCCTGTCTGCTGTTTCTTAGAAAGTTACATTGCATCACTATGGACAGAAATTGCTTAAGTAAAAATAAGGTATTAGGACAAGTTTCAGGAACAAGCAAATCATCTGCAGCATGTCCAATACATTATTGAAGCTTATAATGATTTAGTAACAGTATTATCAGGTCTAACATATGAATGATGTGGACATCAGAGATTTTGGGGCAAGGGATTTGGAAATAAGGGGGAAAAAAAGGCAAGGAAAGTAAGAAAAACAAATAGAGCCATTCTACTATAAAAGAATGATGCTGACCTTCTTTCAGAAAAAGCTTCTCTTTCTGTAGTATTGTGGCCTGTATTATGCAGAAGTTACACTACACCATACCAATAGTATGTGCTTACCTTCAAGATTGTTCACATAGAACTTCAGTGAAAGTGGTGTAATATCACACTGAAGGACATGGCATGCTGCCCTCACTTGGAGTATTGTGTCCAGTTCTGGTGTCCTCAACATAAAAAGGACATGGAGCTGTTGGAGCAAGTCCAGAGGAGGGCCACGAGGATGATAAGAGGACTGGAGCACCTCCCGTATGAAGACAGGCTGAGAAAGTTGGGGCTGTTCAGCCTGGAGAAGAGAAGGCTGCGGGGAGACCTCATAGCAGCCTTCCAGTATCTGAAGGAGGCCTACAAGGATGCTGGGGAGGGACTCTTCATTAGGGACTGTAGTGGTAGGACAAGGGGTAATGGCTTCAGACTTAAACAGGGGAAGTTTAGACTAGATATAAGGAAGAAGTTCTTCACAGTGAGGGTGGTGAGGCACTGGAATGGGTTGCCCAAGGAAGTTGTGAATGGTCCAGCCCTGGCGGGGTTCAAGGCCAGGCTGGACAGAGCCTTGGGTGACATGGTTTAGTGTGTGGTGTCCCTGCTCATGGCAGGGGGGTTGGAACTAGGTGATCTTAAGGTCCTTTCCAACCCTAACTATTGTATGATTCTATGATTTACTCTATAATGAATGAAGAACATTTGATATATGTAAGGAATAGCAAAGATACATATTTTTGCTCATAAAGAAGGTCTGTTTTATTGCATAATATCCTTCAAATTGCTTCTGCTCAGCATATATGTGTTAATTAAGCACATTAAAGTCAGATATTTTTTTCATTAAAATTAGATCATTTATAATGATGAATTAACTAGGTTGTTAATAAAGAAAGAGAGCTCCAAAGGCAAATTACCACGAATAAAAGCAAGAAGATATCTGATTTTAATAAAGTAATTAATAACTTATTAGTGTCTTCAGGTTCCTCCAAAAATAATTAAGAAATAACTTGTCGTTAATGTCTTCTTAGTTTGTTTGTGCAGATGCTGGAACAAAACTAGCTGAGTCAACAATCTTACATAAACAGATGATTGCTTCTATGCCTGGAGTAAGTACTGAATCAAACTCTGTCTCCTAGTTCTGTTTTTAAAAAAATGTGTCTTATTCAGATCAGTTTGCTTCATTTTAATGTTCATTCCTTTTCATTTATCCTTTGGTTGGCAAGGTGTATTGCAGACAGAGGTTGAGATGCTGCTTCTTTTTTATTGATGTTGGAAAAGTTCTGAACTTCATGTTGCTTCCTTTACTTTCACTGATAGTATTTATTCATGTAACTGCTTTAACTGGAGCCCGTGCTCAAGGCGACAACTGCAGATCTATGTTTCTCTGTAGGGAACAGACCAGCTGAAGCCTCAAAAAATAGTAGCAGGGAGGAAAGCCACAAGCTATTGCCCCCATTCTCACAAAAGACTATCTGGTTAAAGAAGGGCATTAATAGCATTTTTCTGGTGATGTATAAGTCATTCATCTATATCCTGCTGATGAGTGTAGCTGAATTACCAGTACTCATAATTGCATAGGCACAGAATATGCACCTGGTGAATGTGTTAGGAAGCAGCACAATAGGAGGTCTTGTTCCAAGGCACACATGACTGAGTACCCAAACAGATGGATGAGGGTTAGCCCAGGTCTGCTTCACGAGCTGAAGAAAACTCATTTCCCTGTATGTGTCTTGTCATGTTTAGGAGTGACCTAATAGGATTTTTCCCATATATCTTCTGAAGTGTGTGATTTTCTTAATGCGAATTTTAGTAATACCTTTTTTTTCCCCAAGAGAATATTTTAATTTATACTTGCTTTAAATAGATGGACTAATGTTGGTGTTAGAAGGTATGTTAGGAAAGTGATCATTTTGGAAGAAACAGAGAATCAGGCTGCCTGCTGCTTGAATGAAACAGAATAGATGGAGAGAAATCTTGTTTGATGAGAATTCTTTTGCAACTGAGCATTATTTGCAGAGGTTTGAATATAGTATCTTTTATAAATGTTATTCAGTATTTTAGGCCCCTTAGCCCACATAAACTGAATGGAGGATATGCTGCCAGTGACCTTCTTTTACTGTTTGTTATTCTGTCAAGGGAACTGACAGGCACAGCATTTGAAAAGCCAGAAGGTGGCATAGTTTAACACCGTGTAGATTGATATTAACATACATAATGAGAAGTGCCCAGGTCGGTTGCTTAAAAATAGAATGCTAGCATTTTCTCAAATATCAGCCACTAAAACTCAATTATGGCTAAATAATTTTGTGATCAAAACTAAATCTGGTTCTTTTGTATACTCAGGGTAATCAGTTTCTGTGCTTCAAAGTGCAGGTAATTAAATAGCGGTCAAAGAAGAGTAGTTTTCGCCAGTAAACTTTACTGCAGTGTTTTGCCCTGAACCTGTGACTTTGGATACAGTAGCTTTTGGTGACTTCAGAAAGATACCTAATTACATAATTTCATCATTTAGCCTCAGAAGTTAAACACTGCTTTTACTTGGCCCCTCAGATTGAGGCGTTTATAGTTCTCCTTGAATTTAACTGGCATTATCTTCACTTCAGATTGTTAATATGTAAACAGAAGTTTATATGATACCTAATGGGTTAGTCATATCACCTTCTGAAAGCTTCTCTCCAGGGTTCTCTAGTCTGTTCGAGGCTTTTATTTAGTCTGATAGCTTTGTTCTGTTGACTGCTTTGCACACCTTGTACTAGCTGAAGGCCAGATTTGCATTTCTCACTAGGAAAAAGATTATGAAAACTCGTACTGTGGGAATACAAGAAGCACCTGATTTCCTTTTGTTTTCCCTTTGAGGTTGTTCTTGCTCTGGTACAGGTTGCTTCTCAGTGCTTGCACTTTTCTGGTTAAACTTGGAGCACTTAATGAAAGATTTCGTTTATCCCTTATAGCCCTTGTCTTCCCTTTTGAAAATTGCAACTAGCTTAAATGCTATTAGAATGCTGTATTTTAAATGATTTTGCTTCAGGAATATCCCGGGGGGGGTGGGGGGGGGGAGTAACACTTGTAACACTTAGATTTCAGTGATGTTTATTTTACTAATGCTTACACATAAAATACATGAAGCCAGACATTTAATCTCTTTTTACATCACAATTAATATGAACATAAGGACACATATGCCTATGACTGAATTTTGTTTTCTGGGATGACTTGTGAACTGGTGAGAGTTTCATCAGTCAATCTTATTTTGCTGTCACAGAGTATTTTATGATGCATGAAAAAGCTACAGTGACTGAGCTCTTTTTATGTTATCATCAGATAAGAGGGCATATTACAGTGAGAAGAAAAACATCAAAGAATACCTATTCCTAGCTGAAGTAATCTAAGTATAAAGTAAACTAAAGAATTTGATACATACAAATTGTGCTCTGGTGAACAAGAAATGAAGACAAAGACATGAACATATTCAAAACCTGCTACATAAACTTACTTCTTTTATGTTCTAGTGCGGAACAGCAGCAATGGAATGCATGAGGCAATATGTTGGGGAAGTGCTGGATTTCATTGCAGATATGCATACCTTAACCAAATTAAAGGTTGGTTCTGTGCATACATTAATATAAAGTATATGTGCTTTTCATAAAAAATGCGCTTTCTGAAATGAATCTGCCTGGGAGAAATGTAGGAAGTCTTTGAGGATGACTGACAGGTTTTTTTCTTTCTTTTAAAAAGAATGTTAGTATTGTTACAGATTAGATACTTCTGGAGGATCAGTAAAAAGTAGCTTATGCAGTATTGAAATGGGGGCTGATTCAAATGTAGTGAGCACAATAAAAATGCAGGCTTGGTTTTTCTGAAATGTTGAGGATACGCTGATGTCATACTGAAATCACTGTAAGAAGTAGTTGTGTTGAATATAACCCATGGAAACATAAACCCCTTTGCCTGTACAACTTATTACATTCCTCTGGGGGATTTGTGTGTCTCATATACACAAACAGATACTTCAGTTGATTGAAAATTCAGAGATTATTGAAATGCAGTAATTGACCTAAAAAAAAAAAAGGAGGTGGGGGTGGTGACCTTCTTCTTATGGACGCTGTTGTTTCCATTGTCAGGTTATAGTCTGTTGAGGTTGGGAAAACTGAGTAGTTCTTACCTCTGTGTTCCAAACTGCTTTTTGGCTTCTGCACATTAGTTTGATGCCAAATTATAAGAGGAGTGATAGGACATAAAATATTTAGGAATGTATTTTATGAAAACATTCCTAGCTGGTCAAAAGCTGGTATTTCTGTTTCGTTGTGGAAGTCTGTATCTATTAAATTTCTTACAAAGTAGAAATACTTTAAAGTGTTTCAGGAAAGAATTAGGCTAAGTGACATTGCTATTATATAATAGGAAATAACAGAAGTATAGCTGTTTCAGTTGCTAGCAAAGTAGCATCTACTATTAATAGCTTAAATGAAGAACGTATGTAATATTTCAGCTAATATGCCAGTAATAGTCGTAATTCTGTGGAAAGGCAATATTTATTCTGTTTAGCATGACACCATCCCATGAGATAGTTCTATTGTACCATCTGAAGCTGAGTACTAAGTGAGCAGTGAGTTAGAGGTGAAACTTTGGTTAAAATCCTTATTTTTGTAGAGGGAAAACACCTGTCTTATAGTGGAACCATCTGTCACTTCTCAATGCCAGGCAAAGTTAAGAGTGTAGTCTCTTTAGCTACATACTGGTACCCTGCGCAAGGGTAAATTTCCTTCAGCACGTAAAACAGAGGTAGTGGTGTGACTGCCCTTGATGCTTCTAACTTCTGCAAAGCTGGCAAGACACATGAATGGTGTAGGAGTGCAGCAGAGGGACTGTTGCAGATACAGAGGAGAGTCTTTGCTGTCAAAGATGCAGCCAATTCTGAAATCTAGCAGTAGAGTTTTAGTCCTTGTGCACCAGCACCGGCAACAAGATGATTCAAGGGGAAGTTTGTCAATTGAAAGAGGTCATTTCGTCACTGGGCTCAGTCATATAGCTGCTAAGCTGCTTTTACATGATACAAAGCTCAGTTGCTGGATACAGAAAAACAGACTTATCTTATTCAGGCATTGCTTACACGCCTGGGCTTTGGTGTGCGTGGGCTCCTAGGGAATCTCTTTGAACAAGGTCTTGTATTTGTTTCGAACATGAAGAGCCACTGTGCTTCTGTAACACAGAGTGCATCTGCTAATAAGGAGTGTTGCTGGTCAGTTTTCCTAGTGTATAGTGTTTCCCTGAAAGGGCCTCTCTACTACTGCACCAGTCCTCTGCTGAAAGTTACTGGAAATGCACCGGAGTGTTTCATGCCACAGGTTTATGCAAGTATTCTGTGACAGGCAAGACAGAATAAATGATAACCTGTAGTGGATTTAGATACTGGGGTTCACTTACAAAGCAGTGAAAGGAGAACTTTTACCCTACTATTTTCTCACACACTCTCTTGCTTACTGTCCCTCTGTCCCCTCCACCCTACCTCATGCCCCGGAAGGGGACACCTTGTTGGAAGTTAATGATACTTACCACAAAGGAAGAAGCATCCCAGCTAAACTGAAACTCATGTCTCTTGAAATTCACAGTAACCTTGTTTTACTGGACAAAATATCCCTTCTGTTAAGTTCTTTCCCTGTTGGCCATATGCCTTGAATCCCATTGAGTTTAAAAAAAAATACTCTAATAAGGGAAGCAGCCTTTTTTGCCGGAGTAGAAATTGACTTCAAAGCACAAACTTAATTAACCATTTTTAGCTGAATTGGATTGCCTTCCCACTCTATCCTTTAAAGCTATTCACCCATTTCTCTTACAGTTCAGAACTGCTTTTGGAATAGGTAGGCAAATGAATCATAAATGAAGGAGAGAGACATCTGGTTTGCCAGTTCCACAATAAAACATGAACTTATCTGAAACCAGAAATGAGGAAAATTTTTTTATAAATACTTACAGGTATACTCTTTTCTGTGTAAAATGTTGCTATAGAGAGTTCTCTGCCATTTCTACTTTTCTATTCTGCCTCCCTTGAACTGTAGTCTAATTTTTAGAAATGTACTTAAAATACTTAAGTCTGATAAAAGGATAATTTCTTATGCTCAGTAGGGCTATTTTTTTGAAGTTTTATGGATATACGTGGGACATGAACTAAAACCTTATCCACTTCACTTTTACGTTTGAAATTAGAGAATAAGCTTCCCAAATGTGTAGTCTGGCCATTGAAAATTAAGTCAAACCCACATGATTTAAAATGTTATGTTTTGATTTAGCAAGGTAATACAGGAATCTGAGAACAAGATTAATGTAATAAGAGAGTCAAATATGACCCTAATTTTATGTATTGTAAAGAATAAACTTTGGCTGTCTTTGGAAAATTAAAATGCAGTTCTTGTTCAGAATCAGGCCAGATATATCTATTCTGTGGTTCCAACATAGTTTAAAATGTTTGTGTTTCTCAGTTTACAAATAGTCAGAACATTAAACTAATTCACAACATCTGAATTAAAATTCTTGAAGCTTGTTTAATATATTTACTTACGTTGTTTGGGTTTTTTTTAACAGAGGTGTTCCTAGGAAGTGAGTTTTAAGATTATCCAGTTGTACAGTTTCTTACTACAAGTATGTATTATCAACAGCATCTGGCCTACCAAACTAATACAAAGAATACCGTATGAGTTATATGAGCAGTAACAATCCCAACAGTGAAAGTTTAATCTTGGTTTTCAAATTTTGAAATTTGTACTCTGTAGAAATTCAGTTAACAGAAATAAAGCTGTTTATTCATTTCCAATGTCTTATTTTCATGTCTTTGAAAGAGGTTAATTATTTTCAGCCCTGCATATTAGCAACTGCATTATAAAAAAGGTATAAATGTTAATTTGCAAGATAATCACATTCCAGTTTATTGTTTCTGTTCAGTTTATTATCTGTTTTCCCTTTGGGATAGCATTTTAATTGGTAAAGCTCAGCAAGGTTTTACTTAGAAAATTCTCCCATTTTGGAAGACATATAATGTATCTGCCTACATACCTGTCTATCCTTTTTACCTGGCTCTATGACAAAGTCATTAGATATTCATGCTGGTATATAATCTTTTTTTTTCTCTTGAAAGAGACTTCAAGTAGGTGATTTTTCAGAGTTTAAGTTGCTGGGGTCAGATACTTCCCAATTATAAGATATTATTGGTCCACTGATTTTTATACTGTTGTTGTAATTTAATAACTGATGACCTGGATTTTCTTGTGCAAAGCATATGGCTCTCCTTTAACCAAGCAAATGCACTCAGCATGTGTTCTGTTAATCTAGTAACAGAAGGTAATGCAAAGTTAGCTTAATTAGAAATATACAAGTATCGCAAAAAGCACCAATGACGCATACCTTAGACTTGACAAAGCAGGAAAATAAAATATCTTCCCAGGTAAATATCTGCATGTTTCTTGGTAAAAGGTTTAGTCTTTTTATTTCCAGGGCTTAAAGGCATTTGTAAGTGAATAGTGCAACGTAGTCATATTGCTGGTGAATTTTTTAATTTCTGTACGTGTAAATGGAATATTGTACAGGGAAGACATTTCCTGCTCAGATGCTATCTAGTTAAATGGGTGGATTCTTTTATCTTCACTTAAACCGTCTGGATATGCAACCTTTAGTCTACATTCGTCAGCTATTGAGTTTGCTGATGAGAAAGATGCCTATACATTTTGGACAAATCATATTTTGTGTGGGCTCTTGAAGATGTGCCTCCCTGTGGAAAGATTTGCATCAAAAAGCTGCTGGTACTAATGTAGGGACTGGAGAGTTTTTTAAAAAAAAATCTATTTCTGAGCTTTATTCTGTAGTTTTGTAGATTCAGTTAGAGGCCCTGAGAAAGTAGTTGAAGGGAAATGGAAGAGAATACCCTGTTGCCTGGAAGAACATAGTACAAGTTAAATACTCTTTTTGGGTAGGAAATCAGATCTTTGTCTTGCAGAGTCACATGAAGACTTGTTCACAGCCACTGCATGAAGACACATTTGGTGGACATCTGAAAGTTGGGTTAGCTCAGATTGCTGCTATGGAGATCACCCGGGGAAACCACAGAGACAACAAAGCTGTGATCCGATACTTGCCTTGGCTTTACCATCCTCCTTCTGCAATGCAACAAGGGTGAGAATGTTTTTCCACAAAAAGGAGTACTAAAATGAGTTAGAAATCTTCACAAAATTCTGCATTTATTGCCAGATTCCATAGATAAGTCCCGCAGTAGGGAATGGTGGCCATGGAATGTTGTAGCAGCTGTTTAGCAGCTCCTTGATCCCTCAATGCAGTATTTAAAGTACATGCTAAAGGGATGGTGGAGGTAGCTTCATTGGCTTGGCTGGAGTTACCCTGGAAATTAACTTGATTCTCGATCTAGGTGAAGACGGTGAAAGCACACAGGTACTTGGTCAGTCCTAGAATTACAGAAAATTTATTGGGAATTATTGAGAATACAGTGGGAAAAGTCCTTTGAAATTATGGAGTACAGATGAGCGAGAACTGTGTCAGCCTATTGATATAATGATAAAATTACTAACCTCATCTGACTGAAGTTAGATGAGGGAGATCCTTTTCTTCAAGACAAGCTTTTTTATTCCTTTTAGCTATGAGAAATCCTAATTTGCAGTGGTTTATCTTAAAAAAAAAAAAAAGGGGGAGATACTGTTCCTTGTCTTACAACGACAATAAATGAGATGTTTTGAGTGTAGACCATTGGACTGTGTTTCAATAAACCCATATTCTTGTCCAAGTTTTGTACCAGACTACCTGCCCAGACCAGGATTCTGGGGACTAAGTTGCTTAGGCTCCAGTCCTGTAGATACATAGAATCAATTAGGTTGGAAAAGACCTTTAAGATTATCAAGTTCAAAATACATTTTCATGTATTTTCATGTAGAGCACACCTAGCTTTGGAAATACGGAGTTGTTACCTCCTTGTGCTTTAATTTCTTACATGTGAAAAAAAGGACTGTGTGTTCTTAGTTTAAGGTAGTGAATTTCTTTAAGACCCTAAAGGTACTTGAGGAAAAGCATTGTGTCAGAGTCTATTAAAAATAAATAAATTAATGGAATGCCTCTTTGCTTCTATGAGTCCTTGACAATGACATCAAATTAGAAATTAAAAAGTGGTGAGAGTTTCCTAGTAAATAGTGATTTATTGACTGAAATCCAAAGTCTTTTTTTCCCTGTGCTTATGAATTCAAAGGAGTATGTAATCTGAACTTGGTAACAGCAAGGGGACAGTCAAGATGACACCAGAGAAGTGTTACTCCTTTTTAGATTATAGAAGTGCATTGCTTTACAATTTGAGATTACACTAGATGATGGATGAATACATAAGTGTCACAAAAGAACATAGTCCCTTCCCTCAAAAGCATGCAGTCTAAATCTCCAAGGAGAGTCTAAGGAAAGGAGAAATTAACTCCACTTTATTGAGAGAGAACTGGAACACAGTGGAAGTAAGGCTTGGCGCCTGCTTTGGAGCTTCCTGTGGAATGAAGTATTCCCTGACCTTGCCCTGTCAGCCGCGTGCTGTCCAGCGAAGCAGAACGGAGCATTACACTTCAAAACGCTTCCCATCTGATGATTTCTGTGTTAAAAATCACTGTGTAGTGAACCAGTGAATCTGTGAATGTTTTAGACCTGTGTAGAGACTGTGTTTTAGACCCACCAAATGTGCTCTGTTGGACTTGTTAGCGGTACATCAAGTGCCCTAAGTTGTGTGTGGTTCTAGTCTCCCCATAAGCTGTACCAATGATCTGTGCCTCTAGCACACTGAGACTGCCTAGTGTGCACAAGGAGACTCCATATTTTGCGGAAAACCAAAAACCTTAGCATCGTTGTAAAATCCACTCTTTCTTGACAGGCCCAAAGAGTTCATAGAATGTGTATCACACATTCGTTTGCTGTCCTGGTTACTTCTGGGGTCTCTGACACACAATGTTGTCTGTCCAAATTCTCCATCATCTTGCATGCCTATTCCACTGGATGCGGGTTCACAAATTGCTGACCACCTTATTGTCATTCTGATTGGGTTTCCAGAGCAATCAAAGGTAAGGGATTCTGTGTTTTAAGCGGAGATGTGTTATATTTTGGCCTTATTACTGCAAACATTTATTTCTTTGTAAGGAAAAAGAAGGGCTAAAACCTTATTAAAACATGGGATTTAGGGA